GGAGGCGGTCTCCACAGTGGGCAACAGCTCCGTGATCTCCGAGCTTGCCGAGGGCAGGCTCGTGTTAGGTGGCAGAGGCAGGACTAGGGAGGCCTCACATAGATCCACCTCAGGAATCTCTTCCAGGGCCGTCTCCTCCCCCTCGGAGAAGAAGTTGATCAGCGATTCGGACCTCGTCACATGCAGGTACACCCTGGAGGCCGAAGCTGGCTGAGTGGTGGTAGTGGTGGAGCTACGAGAGGAATGTTTGACACCTGGAATATCCGTGGACTGATTGTCCTCAGAGTCAATGGGGAAGGAAGAGGAATAGTTGTAGTCGTCGTCGCCTTGCGAAGAAGTCGGACCAAAGAGGACCACTGTGGTCTGCGATGCTGACGAGGGGAATAATTTCGCATTAGTAGTCAGCACCGGTCTCAAATTAAAAGAAATAACTACTGGGCCCCTAAACTAGAAGGGAACAGTTATCTGCGCGGGAAAACAGCCTCCCGAAGCACCCACTAAGAATGCGTCCGTGCAACTAACTAACTTGAAGTACACTTTGCCCCCAGAGAGCCTGAACAGATGTCAATGTATACACCAATGGCACAACCAGAAGATAGAAACTAGTAAGGATCAGTTACACGACTGTACAAACAAGACGCAGGAATAGAAACGCCGCGCCCACTTAAAATAGGTGGCTTTACCATACACTTAAGGAAAAGTAAATATTTACGTGCCCAAACCATAATACTAACCCTATCCCACACCTTCACCGTAAACCTAATCTTCCCTCTAACCCTACGCTTAACCATAAACTTAACATCACCCCTACTTCCCTCGGAGTGAAGTGTATAGGAACCTGCCTTACCAACAGTTCCCGTTCCTATTTCTTGTCGAGCGAGTCCTATAAGCAATCCCTATCAGAATTTGTAATCTAGTAACCTCCATCTATAAATTGCATACTAGCCCATCTTCAAAGGTATGCCATCAGACCACTTCAGTACCGACCTAGTAACGACTATTTGAAAAGTAAGGAAGGGAATCCAGTTAACGTTTGAACGGGTGCACGCAAAACACACATTTATCGATCAGGTCGCCATCACCAGCAGCCCAGCTGCGCCTAGCGTATGCTGACCTGATTTTTTGGACGCAGAAGTAAGTGATTGAGATATCGATCGAGCAAGTCCGGACCAGATAGATCGATTGTCTAGGTACGCAAACATCCAACGTATTGTAGGACGGGATAAAAAGTGTCCCCTACCTACCCCAAAAAGTGCTTGGACGAGCAAAACCCAATTAACTTCTACAATAATGCGATTGATCTACACAGCCAGGCCGTTAAGACCTGTACTGGTCTGATGTAATTTAACACCGACCGCACAGTTTTAGACGGTAAGAGTTTAAAAAAGAGATAAAAGGAGAAGCAATTGGTTCCGATCGTGTGATAAAGTAATTAAATATTTGCCTTGAAGTTGTCGTGCGGCGCTTTATAAAAAAGGATGAGGCCAGGCTTGTAGGAGCAGTTAAAGTCAGTGGAAAAAATAAACGCTGCTTAATTAGTGCCCTTTTTGTGGATGATTGGAAAGACGCTATCTCGCCCAACAGCCAACATTCTACCACGTACAAATTATCCACGCCACATAATCCTACAAACCCATAAAATCCCTATTCAAGCACTGCATAGGTCAGGTTTCCCCCGCTGTATGTAGGCTGCTTCCATGTAGCGCAAGGTTCGAGTTGCTCGTGCCCGAACAGAAGGCTGTTTTGGGATCAACAGAGAGAGCGCTATGTAGGAAATGTTTCGTAGTCAAAGAACGAGATATTTTATTTTCCAAAATGAAAAGCCACTTGGGCAAGTATTCAACGGCTCTGGCTTTTTATTCGTCCCAGTGCATTTGCTTCCGTAAGTGCATGTGAATTCGTAAACGCAATTTGGGGTGCGTGCAACGGCAAGACATCCTTTCATGCCTTTGTATATCCCGCAACCTACTGGGATTTCTTAATTACACAATTCCTGCTGATACTACCTCTTTCGAAATGCTTGACTTGATTATAATTTTCGTCCACCACACAAACTCAAAGAACACCTCCTAATAATTAAGTCAGCCTAGTAGTCATTCTGGTGGATTCTAGAT